GTTTGTTTGTTTTTGAAAGAGTCTCTCAGTGTAGCCTAGGCTGGCCTTGAACTCACAGTGATCCTCCTGCCTCAGCCTCCAGGTGGTAGGATTACAGGTATGTGCCACCATGCCAGACTTTGTAGAGGTTTTAAGCACTGAGAGATTATGGTGGTCACCTTCTGTATAAACAAAACAAACATTAAACACTAATCTTTAGTGTGAGGATTAGGCTGCCTGGCCAAGCAGTCATTGTTTTTCCCTGTGAGGATTACTTCATTACTTGTTTATTAAAATTTTTTTTGTGTTTATTGAAATATAGTTTACACATAAGTTTACAAATCTCAAATGAACAGCTTCATTTTACATATGAATGCACCCACACTGAAATGAAGAAAATTTCTAGTACCTTAGAAGTTTGCCAGGGAAATCAATTCTGCTGCAAGTGACAATTATCCTAATCTTTATCATTATAGATTTGTTTTGCTTCTTTTTGAACTCCATTAAGTAGAATCACAAATGTGAATTTATTTTTGTTTCTTTTCCTCAGTATGATATCTGTGAGATTCATCCATGTGTGGGACAGTAGTTTTCTTATTCTCATTGTTGAATAGTATTCCAGTATATAAATAAACTACATTGTTGTACAAGCTTTTTGTTGAACACAAACATTTATTTTTGCTTGATGTATATCCAGGAGTGGAATTGCGGGGCCACGGGATGAACGCTGTGTGTCTGTGTATGTATTGGTACTCAGGTTTGAATCCAAGACCTCACACATGCTGGGTAAATGCTCTACCACTGAGCTACATACTCAATCCTACTTACGTGGTTTCTGTAGTGCTGGGGACAGAAGCCAGGGCATCTGCACATTGTTCTGTACCCCTAAGTTCTATTACCAGGCTTCCAAAGTTTATTTATTATTTTGGTATTGGAGATTAGGCACCCTTGCAATTTCTAGTAGAGAAGAGAGAGAGAGAGAGAGAGAAAATGAGGAATTGGGTCACATGACTATGGTGGCTGAGAAGCCCCATCATCTGCTGTCTGCGTGCTGGAGACTCAGGAAAGCAAGGGGTTTCTTCTAGATCAAACCTGAAGGCCTGAGAACCAGGGGAGCCAGTGGTCTAAGTCCTGGTCCATGTTGGAAGGCTTAAGAACCAGGGCTGACGGTGGGAGTCCCAGTCTGATCCCGAAGACGGGAGAAACAGGAGTGCTGGCATCAAGGATAGGACAAGGTGGCTGTTCACCCAGAGCACAGGCAGATTTGCTGTTCCTTTGTTTTTGTTCATTGTTAGGGCCTTCATGAACTGGATGGTGCCCACCTGAACTGGCAAGAGAGCTTACAGTCTACAAATTCAAATGCTAACCTCTTCAGAAATCCCCTCATAGGAAAAAAAACACAAACCTATAAACAATATTTCACTAATTTTCTGGGCATCCATCCTTTAGTTAAGTTGCCACATAATGAGCCATCTCAGCCACCTCATCCTGCTTTGGGGACTCTAGGTCCCTGGCTGTGTACTGAGTTCTGTACATTTATTCAACAATTCTATCAAGGAAGCCGGGCGTGGCAGGCCACACCTGTAATCCCAGCACTCTGGAGCCTAAAGCACGAGGACTGCCCCAAATTCAAGGCCAGCCTGGGCTAGACAGTGAGTTTAAGGACAGTCTGAACTGCACAGCAAGACCCTCTCTCAAAACAAAATAACAACAACAACAACCACAAAAAACCCAATTCCATCAAGGTAAGGTGTGTAATTTTTATATCATCCATTATATAATTCTATCAGTCTACCACTTGTGGTTGGCACTTAGAAAGTAGTTGCATGGGCTGGGGATTTAGCTCAGTGGTTCCACCACCTGCCTCGAAAGTGCAAGGACCCAAGTTTGATCCCCGGTACTAAAAAAAGAAAGAAAGAAAGAAAGTAGTTGCTATCTAAGGCAAATATCTTCGAAAAGAAAACACTAATTCTCTAAAAAGTAGTGTTTCATTTGTACCAGAAACATTTAATTACCTCTTAAGGGGCAGGTAAAAGCAGTCAGAACTGGTGACTCAAACACGGAGGAGACATGGTGTCTCCCTTGAGGAGGTGAGACCCACATTAAAATTCAGTGCAGATGACAGATGCTTCACCCGGGTGTGGACACTCTTAGGCTGTTTGTGTGGGAGTACAGGGACTCACGAAGGAAGTGACAGCAGGGCTGAAACCGGAAGGATGAGAATTTGCCAGGTCAAGACCACAAAGCACGTCAGCCGGCAGCAACTGTGGGAAATCCTCACTTCTGGAATCCTGTGTCTTGCACCTGCCCAAGGTGCAGTGTTGGCGGGGAGAGGTGCAGGGAACGGGAAGGGAGAGGACTGTGATTGCAGTGGTGGAACAGAGCCAGAATGTAAAATAAATGGTTGACTAAATTGCCTGGGAAAGAACTCAGTTGCCTTTGGTAAACAATCCCAGAAGTGTAAAAGCAAATCCCATACAACCTGCCTGTGATGGCGCATATGTTTACAGATGCTTGGCTCCATCTCTTCTGGAGCAGCTCTGGGAACAATGCCAGGAAGGGAGCTCTGAGAAGCAATAGATAGTGATTGAGCCTGGGGTAATTTGCAGAATATTAGCCTGTCTTGACTTAGCTACTACGGTCTTGTATGGAATGTAGAATGTGTACTGCCAAAGCGAGCCCTTGTATGGAATCTAAAGTGTTAAAAATCACTCTTTTCACAGAAGAAGGAAACAAGGTTGGCTAAATCAGCAACTTCATTAGGCCCAACATGTAGTTAGTGAAAGAATATGAATGAAGTACCGAAGAGCATATTCTTTGAGCCAGGCAGATCTGGACTAGTAAGGAGCTGTGTGATTCCTGGGAAGTGCTTCACTCTTTTGAGCCTCAGTTTCTTTGTCTGTGAAACAGAAATTCTATCTATTTTGTAGGTAGCCACTGGCATAGGGATTATCACACAGAAAGGGTTCAACATAATCTTTTTTCTCTCCACCTTCTCTTGACGTGCAGGACACTGTAATATGAGTAAGAAGAGGTCAGAGGTCAAAGAGAAAGGGTGTTCAAGAGGCCCCTCAAACAGGGCCTCCGGGGGTACCAGGGCTCTGTGTGGATGTGGTCCCTGTTACTTGAATTTTGTTCTTAGCTTTGAAGGTCTAAAAAGTTGAAAATATCAGAATTTCCAGAGCTGATGGATTCTTGGGGAGGGGCCCATGCTAACAAAATACACATGCTGACACAGGAGGATCACCAGGCCAGCCTGGGCTACATAGCAAGAACTTGTCTCAAAAACAAATGAAAAAATATTAAAAATTAATATATTTTTTAAAGGGCCAGGGATGTAGCTCAGTGCAAAGGCCTTAGGTTTAATCACTAGTAACCTTAAAGGAAAAAAAATAGGAGAAAGGGGAGAGAGTCGGTTATGGGAAGGTATATTTCCATTCTAAACTTTGTTCTTTTGGAGACACAGTCTTGCTACATTGCCCAGGTTGGGCTCCAGTTTACAATTCTCCTGTGTCATGCTCGCAGAGTGCTGGGATTACAGGTGTGTGCCATCACGCCAGCTGTACACACGTGGCTGTCAGTCTCCTTAGTAACCAGAAAGTTGCTACTTGACCACAGAACCTGAGGAGAGTTGTAGAAAGATTTCTGCAGTGAGAATTTGCCCAGGTGGTGAGAAAACGGTCAATGCTTTCATAACCAAGGCCTCTTTTTCCTAGTAGTCCAGATCTTTGTGTCTACTATACATACATATGAATATCTTAGCACAGAAACAAAATATTCTCAGCCCTAATGCCACCTGGACTGCTGTGGACTACACTTTTGTTTACACATTCACCTTCTCTAGATAATAATTATATAGATTACATTCCACTACTGAGGAAACACTGGCAACATCTTTGGTGGACTAGGGAGTTCCTCAAATCTATTCAGGCATTTTTATCAGGACTAATCTCTACAGATAACTGATTTTTCTTGCTGAGCAGTTCAGACTGTCCTTGAACTCACCCCACAGCTCAGGCTGGCCATGAATTTGTGATGATCCTCCTGCCTCAACCTCCAGAGTGCTGGGATTACAGGCGAATACTGGGATTATAAACATGAGTCACCATGCCTATAGCTGATATTAACTAATTTAACTCTCAGGCTCACCAGACTTCTTCCACTTCCTAGAAGCATTCATCGAGGATGTTTTAATATCTGTATACCCATTGCCTAACAGTACACACTCAGTAAATGCTGGTTGAACAAAAGCAAGGATAAAAGAGAACCTTTGAAAAGAGCTCAAAGAATAGAGTTTAAATCTATTTTCTATACAGCATTCTACTTTCCTTCCCTACTGAATACCGAGGAAAGGGTGAAAATGGTGTGGGGAATGTAGAACTCCCAAGGTTGGGATTCTTAAAATCACACAAGCCTTTGGAGCCTGTCAGCAAAATTCCCTACCAGGGGCTCTTGCAGAAAAATAAAGGAGCAACACGAAGTAGAAAAGCAGGGAGAAAAAGGCAGAAGAGATGGTAATAACTGTTGACATTGGGAAGAGAATGTTACCGGATGTTACCGTGGGGCTTCTTTCCGGGTGTCTTGGTGTCTCCCAGAAAGAATTGGACAAGGCACCAAAGTTGTACATTTACTGAAGGTAGAAAAGTACGCTTTACAGGAAGAGTGGGCAGTGGAAAAGACCCACAGCAGCCCCCAGGATATAGTGAAAGAAGTCTTTTGTATCTAAAATTCTCCCGTTTCTCCCTCCTGCAAATAAGGCAGTGCAACATTCGTCCTACTATTAATCACTCACTTTAGCCTGAGGCTTGGGGTAAACAGTTTTAAGGAAAAGCTCGCTTGGTTTACTGCTGTATGTAAATGAAGGATCAGCAACAGTGTCTTTTGCTTGGTTGTGTCCACATGCAAATAAAGGATTGAAAATAGCATCTTCTGATTGGGCCTGTGTACAGTTATGATCGCGTCACTGTACTGGGAGTGTCTCTCTCCCTGGGAGTGTCCCTCACACTATACTATCGCCTTGTTTTAAATTGACTGGTTTTGGTGTCTGAAGTTTGTTGGTGCAATTCAAGGAAAATGGACGGACAGGAATATGGAGATTTACATGAGTTCACATTCAGAAAGGTGCTTTTTGGAACAAAAGGGGTGAACTATCCAGTAAGCAATTAAATGTAAGGATCTGAGTTTCTGAAGCAAATTTGGGTGTTAGTCGGAAGCCTGGGAGTGGATCAGACTCCGTGGGAAGAGTGCAGAGGTGGGGATACGGAGGGAGTCCGGGTGGATTTGCGAATTTAGGGGTGGGCAGAGAAATACGAACAGGATAAGGGAAGTCAGGTAAGGAGAAAAATGGAGGGAGACATTTTGAAAGCCCTGGGAACGCTTCAAGGCAGTAACAGACGCTTCCTGAAGGTCAAGAGGAAGATGACAAATCCATTATATCCCTTGGCCAAACTGGATTCCAAGCCGCGCGAGGGTTGGGCCGGAGGTTTAGGGGGGTGGTGGTGGAGGGCCGGGGGGAGAGACCTGAGACTAAATGGAAGGCAGAGAAAGGAGGAAGCCTTAGTAGTTAATTTTAACGGAGTCTGGCTGTGACAAGAAGGTGAGACAAAGGGATAACGGCCTACAGAGTCCCATATCCTCTACAGTTTAAATTGGCATTCTGTAAAACAGCGTTTTGTTTGAAAAGCTCGCTAAATACGCTAGTATGCAAATGAGGGGCTTTAATGTGGCTCTCAGCGATTGGTAGCTTCTTACAAACTCCGTCACTTCCTCGACGCAAAGTAGGAGTCTGCTTTCTGCTTTCCTATTGGCTGTTCGAGCCAGCTCCGCTTTTAGCCAATCAAACTACTTCCCTTCACCCCTCCCGGTAGCGCTTATAAATTACATCAAATTGGTTATTCTTTTCATATCTCTCCCTTTGAAAAAGAAGCTGCAACTGCATTTATACCCGTAATGTCGGGACGCGGAAAGCAAGGAGGCAAGGCCCGCGCTAAGGCCAAGTCGCGGTCCTCCCGCGCCGGGCTGCAGTTCCCGGTGGGCCGGGTGCACCGCCTGCTGCGCAAGGGCAACTACGCCGAGCGGGTGGGGGCCGGCGCACCTGTGTACCTGGCGGCCGTGCTGGAGTACCTGACGGCCGAGATCCTGGAGCTGGCGGGCAACGCGGCCCGCGACAATAAGAAGACGCGCATCATCCCTCGTCACCTGCAGCTAGCGGTGAGAAATGACGAAGAGCTCAACAAGTTACTCGGAGGTGTCACCATTGCCCAGGGCGGCGTCTTGCCCAATATCCAGGCTGTCTTATTGCCTAAGAAAACGGAGAGTCACAAGCCTGGCAAGAACAAGTAATTAGATCTGATACCATCCCCGGTCACCAAAAAGGCTCTTTTAAGAGCCACCAAAGTGTCAAAGGAAGGGCTGATCACGAAATAGCGCATTAGCTCTTTTTTTGAGAACTTGGGTGGCTCTAAAAAGAGCCTTTGGTCTTTGGCTTAGTTTGTCAGACTTCATTTGCTTTTGGTTTTGTGGCTTTCGGTTTTCTTTGGCAACAGAACAGCCTGGATATTGGGTAGCACACCGCCCTGGGCGATGGTGACTTTGCCCAGCAGCTTGTTCAGCTCCTCGTCGTTGCGGATGGCCAGCTGCAGGTGGCGAGGGATGATGCGCGTCTTCTTATTGTCGCGGGCCGCGTTGCCCGCCAGCTCCAGGATCTCAGCCGTCAGGTACTCCAGCACGGCCGCCATGTACACGGGCGCGCCGGCCCCCACCCGCTCAGCGTAGTTGCCCTTGCGTAGCAGGCGGTGCACCCGGCCCACCGGGAACTGCAGCCCGGCGCGGGAGGACCGCGACTTGGCCTTAGCGCGGGCCTTGCCTCCTTGCTTGCCACGACCAGACATGACTACAAAAAAGGGGAAAAAAGAAAAGTCTAAAAATACCTAAAACGCAGAATTCCGCAACAAGACTAAAAAGAGGCTCAGGAAGGAACCCTTTATAATCTTTCTTAGGGGTGGGGTCAGGAACGAGTTCTTCCATTGGTCCTAATTTGGCTTCACAAACGGCCAATAGGGTGGAGAGTTGTTGTCGCACGTAGGCCTTACTGAAAACGCAAGGTCCCTACATAGACCAATGGGAACGAAAGACTTTTTGAGCCCTGATTTGCATAACGTGGTTATAAAAGCTTCAGGTCCGCCCATTCTTACACTTTTTTCTTTTGCTAAGCTTTGTTGGTAGCGTACGTTACCATGCCTGAGCCGGCAAAATCCGCTCCGGCTCCCAAGAAGGGCTCAAAGAAAGCCGTCACCAAAGCCCAGAAGAAGGACGGCAAGAAGCGCAAGCGCAGCCGCAAGGAGAGCTATTCCATCTACGTGTACAAGGTGCTGAAGCAGGTCCACCCCGACACCGGCATCTCGTCCAAGGCCATGGGCATCATGAACTCCTTCGTCAACGACATCTTTGAGCGCATCGCCGGCGAGGCGTCCCGCCTGGCGCATTACAACAAGCGCTCGACCATCACGTCCCGCGAGATCCAGACGGCCGTGCGCCTGCTGCTGCCGGGCGAGCTGGCCAAGCACGCCGTGTCCGAGGGCACCAAGGCCGTCACCAAGTACACCAGCTCCAAGTGAGTGCCGCCCGCACCCGGCGCTCCTCGGCTGTCTTCCTCAAAGGCTCTTTTCAGAGCCACCCACCTCATCAGAAAAGAGCTCCGTTCACTTCTATTTTCATAGTTTCTTGTCAAAAAGTAACTCTGGTCTAAAGATTTTAGCAGACGGTGCACGTAGCTTTTTAAACGTTTGTAACTTGAAGTTGCTGGCCCCTGGCTGGATTTGCTTGTGTCTATCTTTACTCCTTGCTTAGCTTTCTTAGATGTCAGTTCTAGAGACTCTTCCCGGCCACCCCCTCCCCAGATTTATGTCCAGGCCGCTCTGTTTTGCAGGTCTAAGATCAAGTGACTCATTTCCTTTGGCCACGATTTAAGGGGACTAGAACACAGCTAAGCCCGAATCCGCTGGACACTGCGTGACAGCTTCGTACAAGGAGCTCGACAGCAGCTGTGCGTCCCTCACGGGTTCGGCCCTGCGGTGCTTCCTGTGGACGCCAGCTGTTGTGTACTTGGGGCGGAGCCGGGGCAGTTGGTTCCCAGCCTTTTCCTGATTGGACGACATGAATATTTAAAATTCCGCGCCGCATATTGCTTAGACTTCGGTTACCGTTACCCCTTTGGGACTTTGAAATTCCTATTATTTCTGGGTTTGAGGATCATTTTTTTTCATTTAATACTCTGCTTGGAACGCTGCGGCCTCAGCTTCCTGCAAGGCTCTAGGCATTTAGATTCCGGCGCAAGTTTCCTGGAAGAGACCTCTACAAGGCATCCATTCAGGAATTCATGCTTCTCTTTCCTGCCTGTCTTGCTTCTTCCTAGCAGCTGTCTGAAATTGGTTCATTTGCTCTCTTGTTTATGGTCTCTCTCCCCAAGACTTAGAGGCTTTGCGGGGCTGGTTTTCCGCCGTGTCTTCCGCGCCAATCAGTCCCCTGCACACAGTGAGGACTTCCGTAAAATTTCTGGAATTTGTCTATCCCATCCCTTCCCCAGTTGCTTCCGTGGATGGATGGGCGCCGCTCATTTCCATTCGATGTAAGGGAAGACACGATAAAAATGGTAACGTTTTTGGAGCTCCTGCTTCAAATCTGTCCTTTAGCCATCTCGGTGCAACAGCTGGAGAGAGGCCATGTTGCTTCTTCGTGGAAGAGGCCCTGGGCCCGGTAGGTCCTCCCTTTACCCTTGCCTATGTAGTGTAATCGCCTGGATTTCCGCCGAATTCAGAGCATTGTCTTTGGAAAGAGCCTTTTAAATGAACAGCCCCATCCCATTTTCTTTTCCCCACTGCGGTGAGCTTTTAATTTAATTCACCTCCTTCTCACTGGCTTTTCAGAAATAGGTAGGGGAAATAGGTAGGGCTACGAGGTTAACAGCAGGGGAGAGAAGCTGGTCACACAGCTAATGCTACTATTTTGTATCCTTCTGTGTGAGAGTAATTACAGTTTTATCTCGTGGAATTACAGAATATTGAATCTTTCTGTCCAAGCTTTGATTTTCCTGATGAAGACACTAAGTATCTCTGATCAATTACTCAACTGCTTTTGGCGGAAGGCTTCTAGAGTTGATTGCAGTGGTTTTTTGAAACCAAAGGAGCTCCAGACATTATCACAGACTGAATAAATCATGTTTCTCTTACATGTGTATTTTCAAATGTGTGTCATCCCCCCCCCCCCTTTGAGGCAGTTCTGGCTGGCCTAGAACTCATGGCAGTCCTCCTGTCTCAGCCTCCTGAGTGGTGGGATTACAAATTTGTGTGCTACCACATTGGACCCAATTGTTAGCAAAGCTGACAATTTAAAAGCTTTGCTGACTTCTTTTGATTGCATTTTATTTTCTCAATAAATGTAGTTAGTAGATGCTACTGGCTGTGCTTGGGTTTCTGGAAAAGCTGTGTACCTCTGGCCCTGAGGGTAAATATTTACAAACTGTTAGCCAAACTTCTACCCCAGAGGTGCAGGGGAGGTGGTATAACCTGTTACAAGTCCACTGGCAATACTTAGTGATTGAGAAATATAGGATCACAATTAAGAATCATTACAAATAATATGAAAGAAATAGTCCTTAATAAAGTTTAGCTAACACCTACAGAGCCCTTGTAAGGAGCCAGGTAGTGTTCTAAGCCCTTTAAACATGGTGACTCACTCAATCCTCATGCAATAGTTACCACTGGGTCCCATTTTATAAATAAGGAAACTGAGGCACAGAGAGGGCTTTCTTCACAAACTCTTTGGAGAATAAACTCAGGTTAGTGAAGGGAGTTGAGGAAACAGGATTGCATTCTGAAAACCTGGACCCCATTCTGGATTTGGGGAGGAAATACCTGAAATAGAAATCACCAGTTTTAGTCTCAGATTACACTCTGGATATAAATCGACGGCAGTGGTGGGTGAGCTGGAGGAGGTTTAGGGGCTTTGCTTCTCCCTCCTGAAGGCTGAGGCTCGGCTCAGGTTAGCTGTCCTCACTGCTCGTGGGTACCAGCTAGTACCCTTTCCACTGGGCTGAGAGAGCCTTGCTTGCTGGTTTGGGGTTCTTTCATGATCACTAGAAAGGAAGGTACAAGCAAGGAAGGAGGAAATGGTGACAAAATTTGGTATTTTCATTCCAGAACGAAAGTAATCAGTGACAGTGAAATCAATCTCCTAAAGAACCTCTTTAAACATTTCTTTCTCCTGCTTTTTGCTGTGAGGACTACTGTGAGAATCTGAAACACTGGGAGATTCATAATTGAACAATACATTGGCCAAATATAAAATATAAAAGTTTGTTGCGGGGCATGGTGGCACACACATGTAATCCTGCCACTTGGGAGACTGAGGCAGGAGGATTGGCAGTAATGGTAGCGCAGCCTGGGCTACATAATAAGTTTAAGACCAGTTTGAGCTACACAGCGAGACCCTGTCTCAAAGAACTGAAAAAAAAGAAAAAAGTTTGTTAATACCCAGTGCTGGGTAGGGTTAGGAAAATAGATGTTTTACATGTTGTTAGTAGAAGAATTTAGTGCAAAGTATTTTGTTTTCTTTTTTTTTAAGTGCAAAGTATTTTGTGGGTAATTTAGCAATAGCTACCAAAATTCCTTTTTTATATATAAGAACTGAAAGACCCTAGTTAGCAAGACAGACTCCATATTGCTGCTTGACCCACCTGCCTGCCTTTTAGATGAACTCAGAAGGAGGAAGCTTAGAAACCTCCTCCCCTTAGAGAGTCTCTTAGAAACAACAATTAATCAACTATTGTTTCACAAATGTTCTAACAGCAGGATGTTCCGCTTCTGTACCTTTTGCTTGCTTTACTAGTTCTATCCCATAGGGGGGCCTAGAAACTGCTGGCCTCAAAGGTGTATAAAATATGTTAATCTCCCCCCCAGTCGGGGCTCGAGTCCGATGCTCAGCTCGGGTCCCGGCCGGTAATAAACTCCTGTGTGGATTAATATCGGTCTCTGGTTGGTTCTCTCTCGCTGGGTGCAACGTTCTTGGAGGCCCCAGCGAGACAGCCAGCTGCTCTGGAGCTTATTATCTTGGAGCCTTTGTTTCTTTTTAGGAGAGACCAGGGTCGGACATCGGCGGTGTTTGGCCCCTCTGGACACCGGTCTGCGGAAGGAGAGGCCACCCTGACGGTATTCCGGGGCTAGGCCACCCTGACGGTATTCCGGGGCTCCAGGTAGGGCGGTCCCGGTCGGGCCCTATTGCCGATCAACCGACCCACAGGAGTTTATCAGGGAAGCCTCTAGAGGTAAGAATCGAATGATTCTTAGTGCACTGTGAGTAGGTAAGAGGAAGCTGGACATGGCACAGGTTCCTCCTACCTAGAGCTTCTTCAGGACAGCGAGCAGGCTCAACTGGGTTGGAGTCCTCAGAAGAGCAGCTCCCTGGGCGGGGTCCGAATCCATTCAGCCCCAGAGGTTTATATGGCCAAAGTTTGTTTTTTTGTCTGTTTATTGTTGTTTGTCTGTCTGCTTGCTCTGTGTGCCTTTTGCATTTTCACAGGCTAAAATTATGGGTTCCTCACTGTCCACGGAAGGAACTCCAATTGATTGTGTTTTGAATAACTTCAAAAAAATTTATTCCACAGACAGAGAAGATGAATATGGCCTGAAATTTTCTAAAGGCAAACGGCGAACTCTGTGTCAATCAGAATGGCCAAGTTTTGGAGTCAGTTGGCCCCCGGTGGGAACTTATTCTGTGCACATTGCTCACAAGGTTTGGAATGTGGTCATGGGAGTCGGGGCCCCACAGGTCCCGATCGACCTTGGGCACTCAATCCAGACAGGACTACGGTCCATCAGCCCCGTCTTCCTCCTCCCTTTTTCCTTTAAAATAGACAGAGCCCGGGGGAGGATTGATTTATGTCCCTTTTACAACTAGTGATCTTCACAATTGGAAACATCAAAATCCATCCCCCCTTCTCTGAAAAACCTCAGGCATTAATCTCTTCTTGAGTCTGTTTTTCATACCCATCAGCCAACCTGGGATGATGCTTTTACAGATCCTGTTCACCACTGAGGAACGGACCGCATTTATCAACAGTCAAAGAGGCCCTGGGGCCAAACCCCAGCGTCACTCCCAGAACTCGGGGGAATTCAGCCAAGGCTGAAACAGTAGTTCTGTGGTGACACCCTGAATGGGACCCCAATGATGATGACAGTAAGAGGAGGGTGGGGACCTACCACCAACACTTATTAGGGGGACTCCGGGCATTGGCCAGAAAGCCCACTAATTTGAGTAAGGTAAGTGAGGTTTGCCAGGAAAAAACAGTCTCTGGCTGCATTTTTGGAGTGAATCTTGGAAGCCTATAGAGTTTTCACTCCTATTGACCCAGAGGCACCCAAAAATGCAACAGCTTTAAATCTGGCCTTTGTTTCCCAGTCGGCCCCAGGCATTTAAAAAATTACAGAAATTAGAGGGATTCGAGGGAAAGAATAAGACTAAACTCCTAAGCATAGCCCAGAAAGTTTATGATAACTGTGATCCCCCCCCTCCCCCGAAAAAGTCCTAGCCAAGAAACTGGGGAAAGTCACTATTGCTGCACTCCAGGCACAAGAGACAGTCCCTCTGGACAGAAAAAGAGAAAGCCGCCTTTTTGGCTTTAAAGAAAGCCTTAGTGTCAGCACCAGCCCTGGCCCTACCTGATGTCACCAAGCCCTTTTGGTTGTCTATGGCTGAATGAGGGGGCATAGCCAAAGGAGTGCTAGCTCAGGCATTAGGGTCTTGAAACAGACCTGTGGCCTACCTGTCTAAAAGACTTGATCCTGCGGCAAGTGGATGGTCTACCTGTTTGAGGGCAGTTGCAGCCACCGCCCTCCTCGTCCAAGAGGCAGATAAGCTCAGCCTGGGATGGGACCTGGTCACCACCGCACCCCATGCAGTGGTAACATTGCTGAGAGGAGTCCCAGAGTGATGGCTTGCCAACGCCTGCCTGACTCAGTACCAGGCCCTGATGCTGGATGCTCCATGATCAAATTCGCCCAAGAAACGACCCTCAATCCGGCCACCTTACTCCCGGACTCCGACTCGTACGCATGCCCCTCCATGACTGTCTGGACACTGACAACTTCCACCACCAACCGCCCAGACCTGACTGATGAGACCTTCTTCACCAATGGAAACAGCTTCATGGAAGACGGAGTCAGGTATTCGGGGGCGGCTGTAGTCAGTCCAGGAAAACAGGTGTACTGGACACAGGCATTAAGCCGGGGGCTTCAACGCAGAGGGCTGAACTAATAGCCTTAACTCAAGCCCTGTTAGGTCCAGACAAGGCTGTCAACATCTCCACTGACAGCCGGTGTGCATTCCCACTGCCCATGTGCATGGCGACGTCTACAGACAGAGAGGGCTACTGACATCAGAAGGGAAAACTATCAAAAATAAAAAGAGATTTTGGCCTCATTGGAGGCAATTTGGGAACCCAGGGCATTGGCCATTATTCATTCCAAAAGCCACCAGAAAGGAGACAGCTTTGAGGCCTGCGGGAACCGAGAGGCCGATGATACAGCCCGAGGAGCGGCCAGAGAACCAGTGGGGCCGATAGACACTGTGCTCATCCGGCCCTTTGGCTGCCTGCCAGAAAGACCCACACGTACCCCGGAAGACGAAAAGGAAAACCAAAAGCGAGGGGGTACAAAACTGGACTCAGGCTGGTAGAAAGGGACAAACGAACAAATGTGTCTCCCCCGAGCCCTGGGGTGGCAACTTGTTCATCAGTTCCATCACTTAACTCGCCTGGGAGAATCAAAGTTAAAAAGACTAATGAGCTCTAAATTTTCAATCCCAGGACTGACCTCTATGGTCCAGGACATCAGTTCCACGTGTCAGGTGTGTGCACAGGTAAACTCCAAGGCGAGACCAAGGAACGAAGGTAAGTGACTACGGGGAAGAGAGCCAGGGGAACATTGGGAACTTGATTTCACTGAAAAAAAATCCAGCAATAGGTTCAAATATTTACTGGTATTGGCTGACACCTACTCAGGTTGGGTAGAAGCTTTCCCCACTCCTGGAGAATCAGCCAACATAGTGACTAAGGTTTTGCTCCAGGAGATAGTTCCCTGATTTGGCATCCCTCATTACCTGGGGTCCAACAATGGGCCTGCCTTCACGGCACAGATATCCAAATTGTTGGCAAGGGCACTACATATTGATTGGAAGTTACACTGTGCCTATCGCCCACAAAGTTCAGGGCAAGTGGAAAGGATAACTAGGACCCTGAAAGAAACCCTGACTAAATATGTTCTAGAAACTGGTGGTAGGTGGCCCGATCTGCTTCCTCTGGCCTTGTTAAGAGTTAGATGTACCCCACATGTGACAAATTTACCCCTTTTAAAATCCTGTATGGGAGGCCACCGCCACTCCTTCGTAAGTTAAACCTTGAACAGATAACAGAGAGTTCTTGTGTCTCTTTACTTCAGTCTCTTCAAGCCTTACAGATTCTTCAGCGTGAGATCCAGGCTACAATACAACAGACTCCAGAAAAACCCTTTGTGATGTTCCAGCCCCATGGTTTCAAGCCAGGAGACCTGGTCCTGATATGCTTGGTTTGCTTGCACCAAGGACTTGACTAAATACATTCCCAAATCAGTCTTGGCTACCCAATCTGCCACTCTATTTTGTGTCACCGTGTATGTTGTTCCACAAGTCTTGTATTATAATGGAAAAGGGGGCCGTGAACATCTGGGATTAATCACTGAACACTATAGGAGTAAACAGGCTGCCCCGTTTTAGTGCCCATTCTGGTGGGATTAGGAATAGCTGGGTCAGTGGCTATTAGAACTTCCTCCCTGATCCTTTAGGAAACAAATTTTAAAGCCCTAAGCCACCAAGTAGCCAGAGATTTGGGTCACCTGAAAGACTTGATCTTCAGATTAAAAAAACCAGGTTGATTCCCTAGCTGAGATGGTCCTGCAAAATCAAAGGGGACTTGACCTCCTGTTCATAAAACAAGGAGGGTTATGTGTAGCCCTAGAAAAAAACCCTGTTGCTTCTATGCTAATGGTTAACTACCCTCATTTCTGCTGTAACAGGCCCCCTAGTTATCTTAGTTCTGGTTTTGCTTGTGAGACCTTGCATTATAAATGCTCTGACTAAATATGTTAGAGGGTTGATGCAGTTAAACTGATGGTGTTGAGACAAAATTATGAGATTTTAAAAGATGTTTAAAAAAAAAATTCAAAGAGTAAATACAGGAATCAAAGATTTGATTAAGTTACAAGAACCAGTAGGGAATGAAAGACCCTAGTTAGCAAGACAGACTCCATATTGCTGCTTGACCCACCTGCCTGCCTTTTAGATGAACTCAGAAGGAGGAAGCTTAGAAACCT